CTCCTCTGCTTTGTATCTGAAATGTTAGTAGTGTCTGATGAATGCCTTCTTCATCCTTCTAATGTCTGGAAACTAATCATCTTAACAAATGTGATGTCCTCGGGTAAGATAGTAGAAACAAACAACATGAATGAAAGGTATAGGCATAAGAATAGCATTCTACATCTACTTCAGTCTGAGGGTATTGCCATTGTATTTTTTTGGCCAGGTTGGCACCAGATTGCTAAAAGGACCTGTAGGATCATGACTTTGTGCATGTTGGTGTTACAGGTTTTCTTGCTGGACTTTATCCACCACATGTATTTCAACTTTCTCTCGTAGATGAGGAGTGACTCTTAACCAGTGAGCACACGCATTCGTTCTGTCTGCAATTGAATATATCTGCATATCAATTCTCAGCCAACAGGTCTGATAGACTTTTTTCACCCCTAATAGTGGAATGAATAAATTTTACCACTGACACTACAAATTCAATGTTTATGCACTTTTGGCAGTTTTCACCTTCGACTCAAAACACCTTTTTTACATGAAGTTGACTGTAGGATCCCTATGCATAGAATCTGTTAGCGCATGACTTCAATTTAACTGTACAGTTTTTTGACATCTCCGTTTACTACACCACGACTTGGTATATGGATGAAAATATTATGTTTGCGCGTTATCGATTTCCACACTCAATATAAGCATTTCTCTTGCCTTAAAGTGAAAATATGCTCACTCTCACTAGAATCAGAATCCTATAAAAATTTGCCTTGGTATTACACGCTCTGAACTCTTTTCTACTGTTTTGACTCTAGCTTGATACTGTCTATTTTTAGGTTTGTGTTTACAGTGGTTATAGTGATTACTATGCTTACAATACTTTTCATTTTGTTTTCTTTCTCCTCAGCTGCTTCTGAGGAACTTGATATTTCAAGAATTTTCTGTTTTATGTTGTCCTCTCCACTCACTCTAACTCTTGATCTCTGGATTACTTGAAACTGAATAATATCAGATTTCATATTATCTATTTACTTGCATGCTTGTATCAGCCAGGTTAGTCGCGTGATATAAGCATCCATAGTCTCGAGGTTAGTCACGTGACATAAGCATCCATAGTCTCGTATTGCTCCTGTACATCGTGTCTACAAACACGTCGTTCATAGGTCATGTTATTTTTGGTGTACAGTATGTATCCAATGGATCCATTATTGCTCTATTGTCTGACACATTTAATGTCCCAAATAACTCGGATTTTTTATCCTACTAAGAGCAACAACAAAGCCCTTTTTTGATACTCCTGTTGTAATACTTCCTTGTAATTTCAGATTTTTTTTCAAGTTTAAAAAAGACGGCTAGTTTACATACTAAAACATTCTGAAATTCTTGTGTTCAATAGATGCCTACAGGTGCTATTTTACATTATGAAACAAAGTCAGTTTTACGCAACACTAACTCGCTCATAAACATACCACTCAACATGTTAAGTCTCAAAAATTAAATAACTAGGCTGATGCATTATTGGTATTACATTCGAACCCTGAGACATGTAAAGTAAACGTTTATGTTTTCTTATATGTTTTTCCAGCAACTAATATATCGGAAAAAATTAAAATAAAAACGTATGAGTTTCCATCACACATTTCTTCACATGAATGTGTATGATGAACATTTAATGCTATGTTTTTGTTCTCCTTCATCCAACTATGAAGTTTGCCGTAAAAGATTATTCGTCATGGTTTTTAGGTGCAACATTGTTAAAACATTCTTGCATGAACTATTATTAACTGCAATCTTTAGATTACACAGACCTGCGATGTTTTTATTGTCTTGAAACTTTTACATGCTCTACAGTAATTCCCGTACACTGAATCCGAAAATGATATCTATTTTTTTCCATCACGTACAGATTTTTCACCAAATGTCATATGTAAATTTACATAAGTGAATCATTCTCATTGAAATGGGGCACATTTCATTATGCTTAATATGTTGACAACTCCTGGTTATAGATTTCTCTAGACCAATAGCGACATGATAGTTTTATTGAGAAGATACACAAGAAACACACCGCTAGTATATAAACCTAGTATATAGACAATTAACAGGCCGCGTGACGTGTCATTTCTGGATAGTATTTGTTTGTGCGTGCACTTTAACATTTTTTTTTCTTTTCAATATTATGTATTCGTCGCTATGGCAACAAGAGGTTGTGTAAATGACCCAAACATATTCTGCTATATTTGAAGTAAATTTGATATAAGTAAGAGTTGTTTTCTCTTCCCGATTTGTAACAATTCCTTATACGTGATAGAAAAAAATGAATATTATTTTCATAGTCTGCCTTACTGAATTATGGAAAATCCGTTATTAAAACCAAAGCAACTTTATGAAGTTGAAAATCGCAGGCCTGTGTTATTGTACAGCCTATTTTTTCTTTTCATATTATGTGTTTAAATGTTTTCTTTGGATGATTTGTTATACATTCAACCATGAGTTTTTTTTAAATAATTTTTATATTTTCTTTCATTACGATCTATACACTGTATAAAATTAATGTTATTCCTATGAAAAATTAATTTTTGTGTTTTACTTAATACTAATTAGTGAGTACCCAATAAATCCATAAGTATATGCTGTGTCCTTTGGATTTAACACAAGTGACACTCACCGAAACAGCTAGTTATGAACACTTGCTATTCTTGATCTATTTTTCTTTAAATAACAATAACAATTCTCGTTGAATTCTGTTTTATTAACACACTCTTCAACAAGCACTCTCTGACTCAACGGCAACAGAAACGGTAGGATACTTTGTAGGAATCATATCTGGCATTTGGTCATTGAAAATCTACAGGAATATGCATTATTGTATTAGAAACCCAGAAGTTTACACCAATAACATTCAAAGAAGTGATAATTGGTTTTGGTCAATAGAGTTGAGTGATTTTTTTTACCTTAATTTAAACACTGTTCACGGTTTTGTTGCAGTAAATATTCTGTGGAACGCTAACTATTCACGAACTTTTTGTGAAACATGTGAGGAACTGCTGAGACAACGATTTAGTTCTCTGAGTGTTTGTTTTTGTCGAGATGGAAACGGAGTCGGATTCAAAGCTAGCCTGCAAATGTAAGATAACGAAATTTCGTTTATTTGAGAGCAAAGCCAAATTGGGCTATCTGCAGTGTCCAGCGCAGGGTATCGAAACCCAATTTTAGTGTTATAAATCATTAAATTTACAGTTATCCCATCTCTGTCCAAGAAGTTACAAGTGTAACAGGTGTGGAACCGATAACGATAGTACACCAGTTGTTCAAAATATTCACCGTAAGAGAAGTTAGAGAAGTTTCGACGGAGGAGGTACTGTTAAACGCTCAAATAGAAGTGTTTTTAGGGACAGAAGAGGTAAAATTACCGATATATATCCGATGACTTATTTGCGAATGGCGAAGATGATTCGGCATGGTGTAAACCTTGACGATGAGAAGGAGGAGAACGATTCAGGATCAGATAAGGAACGGAGAATGCGAAGTATTTTCTGAGTGAAGTGCCAGAATATAATAAGACTAAATGAGAGAGAGAGAAGAACTAGAAATTAAAATATATAATTACAACAGCGTGAGGGTGATCCACTTTTTATAGGATAGAAACACCTCAATGAGTAATAGGGTCAAGGAAAAAAGCGGGCCAAAATGATCCATAGGTCATGCCATACACAGCCATATACCTCATTCTTAGGCTATTTTTGGATCTGATGGGACCCCCCCACTACCTACCAAAATATTCATATTGTCTCCAATTGAGTGACTCCTTGTTAATATGAATAAAATTATAACCCAATGGTTAATTTCGTGTTTAATAATTTTTTCGATTATTACACCGTAGCAAAAGAAAAAAAAAACTAATGAAAACTCAAAGTGCTTAGAATCAAATGCAATACATTTTGTTACCAATAACAGGGATTAATTTGAGATATATACTTTGTTAACTTACTTATTTATAATACCCACTTATACAAAAAACTCAAAATTTCAGAATCACTACAAGGACAAAAAAATTACAGATAACTACGGATTATTATTCATTAAAAACCTTTCTGTCAATTTAGCAACAAAAATAAACAAACCTGTATTTATCACACCAACCTTTACTTACACCGTTCTTAAAAACAATCAACTAATTCTGAGTTAACGCAAAATTTAAACTTCCTTTTTTATACCACAAAAATTCGGAACAAACACTATGAAAATGAGATGTAAGATACACGTTTTCATTTTAGATCTTGAGGTTACTAATATATTAAGTCAGTTCGATATATATTAATAACATATTCTTAACAAATATGCAAAAAAATTTGTATTACAGTGATTTTCTTTTGTGTGTGTGTGTGTTCGTTTCCACTCTCTTTCATTCTTTATTTTTCACCTTTCATTCTTCTTGTTCGTGTTGTCTCAGATAGATTATAGAATAAATATGTGGGTTTATTTCCATTATAGTTCAGTCATAACATTTTAAAAAGTTATTATTAAGCAAATCCAAAAAGGGCCCTATATTAATATTTCAATAACTTCTGAGAAAGGACATCATATATATATATATATAAATTAAAAAAGAAATTTTGAGTCATCTATATAAGTATACTGAGTCAATACTCTTTTAATGTAACGTTACAAAATTTACCTAAATTTATAAATTATAATAATAATAATAATTTAACAATCAATAATTATATATTTCATTTTTCTGTTTTCCGCAAATCTTGTACATGATCGATAAAAAAACATATTACTCTGTTAATATCCCTTCCTATGAGTTTATGGATTTTGTAATGCTTCGTAAACGTTTTTGTGCTAATTATACCTGGTACAAAACGGGTTTTCAAACTGTTAAGATTTAATATTAATTTTCTTTAACACATATTTTGATGTTAAAGTGTATACCCGTTGAAATAACGAAGTTTTCAAAGCGGAAACTACATAAATATTCTGAAACATATTAATCAGTGTTATTATGTTTTCAGTACCAAAAGCCGAAATTCTTGGTTCACACCCGATGTATGTGAAGATAGGAAGCTCTATTAACCTAACATGTGTCATCAGTGAGAGTCCTGAACCTCCAAGGTTTGTTTTCTGGTATCACAATAATCGAATGATCAATTACGACAAAGAAGGAGGAAAGATATCCCTGCAGAAGGCCAGTGATGATTCTGCCATCAGTACTTTGTACATAAAAGATGCTCAACCGACTGACTCTGGGAATTTCACGTGCGGACCTTCCAATGCCGAAGCCACAAGTATATCTGTTTTCTTTCTTCACGGTAGGTTCCGCTCTTTCAATAAAAGTTCAAATGAGAACAAGTCCGTGAAGTGTGACAAACTAACTAAAATTTAAACATATTTTATCTAAACACAACAACGTTAACAAGTCCATTACCAGTTCTCTTTTTTTCTTTATTACATTAAATCAAATATTTTTAACTTTGTAAGATATCAGTTCCTAAGGCATTAATAAACCCAACTGCGACGTTTAACGCAATGCCTTCTGATGAAAATTGATCCACGCGTAAGTTATTTCTTGAATATATCGTCCTATACGTTTTGGAAACATATTTAACAGTGACGTAGCAACGGTCTGAAGTACCTGAAGTAACATTTTCAACTGGACTTCCTTTTCTACTCGCTAACCCTTCACCTGCAGTGGCATGCGTTAAAAAATTAATAACGCAAATGAAACTTCAGGACTTTTAACTCTCGAATTCGGAGTTCGATTGGCCAGCACAGATAACCTATTGTGTAGCTTTGCACATTAAACAAAGAACAACGTTAATAAATTTTAAAATTAATACCCTTGTACAAGATCACTCAACAGCTAAAAATAATATTTTGAAACAATGCTAGTTGTAAACGTAAGTTGTAGGTGTAAGTGTTTGCTGTGTCGTTTCCGACAATCGTGATAAACACTGCTTTTTTTTAATTCGATGCCATTTCTAAAATCGAACAGAAAAATTGCTAAACCTTTGGTTTTAAATTGATAACGTGAATAAATTAGTGATAAAATAATTGAGTTTTTTTAATCTTCTCATTCAGTAGTTTTTGAACAAGATTTAAATTCCTCTCGTCAAAATTGACATGTCTCTATAAGTTGGCATTATTTTTTGAAAAGCTAATATACATATTTCTAAATTTTATAATTTTGTATATTACATTGTATCTTGCTATTGTTATAATTACAGATAAAGTATTATTTATTTTGTGAACACGTAGTTCACGTACGTTCATTACAGTAGTAGCATCTGTTGTTTTCTTAGTGCAAAATTACACAATGGGCCATCTGCCTTCCATCCACTGCGGAAAATCGAACCCTCATATTAGCATTGTAAGTCGGTAAACTTACCGCTAACTTACCAGGGGATTCTTGCATTGTAAGTCAGTAAACTTACTGCTAACTTAGAGTAGTCTTAACATTTTGTTCTTATTATATATCAGTTAGCCAAAGGAAAAGTTCAACTTGACTGAATTTACTATTATTCTTATCTCATTTTTTCACATTTTGTTCTTATTATATATCAGTTAGCCAAAGGAAAAGTTCAACTTGACTGTATTACTATTATTCTTATCTCATTTTTTAACATTTTGTTCTTATTATATATCAGTTAGCCAAAGGAAAAGTTCAACTTGACTGTATTACTATTATTCTTATCTCATTTTTTAACATTTTGTTCTTATTATATATCAGTTAGCCAACGGAAA